CTCTCTCTCGTCCGTTCTCGTTCGTCCTTTCGTTCTCTCTCGTTCGTCCTCTCTTTCTCTCTCTCAATCTTTCGTTCTTTCTCGTTCGTCCTCTCTTTCTCTCTCTCAATCTTTCGTTCTTTCTCGTTCGTCCTCTCTTTCTCTCTCTCAATCTTTCGTTCTTTCTTTTTCTCTCGTTCGTTCTCATTCGTCCTCTCTCTCGTTCGTTCTCGTTCGTCCTTTCATTTTCGTTCTCTCTCTCTCGTTCGTTCGTCCTTTCTTTTTCTCTCATTCATTCTCTCTCTCTCTCGTTCGTCCTCTCTCTCTCAGACCTTATGGGGCAGCTGGTCTGTCTTGGGTCCGGAGCATCGATTCTTCTTTGCTGGTGACACTGGTTACTGCCCCTCCTTCCAGGAGATTGGTCGACGCTTCGGACCATTTGACCTCGCGGCAATCCCCATTGGAGCGTACCTGCCCAGGTAGAACAGATACTTCTGTGTGTAAAACATTGACACTGGTTGTAAAAACAAGTTCTTTATTGAGTAACACATCAATATTGATTTCAAGGGATGTGATGAAGGGGCAGCACATAGATCCAGAGGAGGCTGTTCAGATTCACCAGGACCTGCAGGCAAAACACTCTGTGGCCATTCACTGGGGAACATTCGCACTCGCCTATGAGGTAACGTTTGACTGCTCATGGTTCTTACATCACTTTAAACTCTTATCTCAACAGTTATTGTTTAGTTGGCTGAAATCAGTACTTATCTGAAGTGACATCACCAACTCTTTACAATGTCGTTGAACAACAGTTAGTGTTTTCCCCCCAAAAATGTGGCATCATCATTTTTAAACTGTATGTTGAGGATGCTGAAAGTTAAACCTTAATTCTCCAGTAAACACACCACGTGGTTGCATATGATAATGGTACGGTTGAACTAAAATGATGATGCCGCATTTTCAAATATAGGACTTTACAATTTAAGTTCAACTGTTATAAATCAAACAACCAATCAACGTCTCACAAAAAAGTTCAAACTTTATTTCGATCTGAGGCAAAACATTTTGACTTCATGATAACACACTAGAGCAGTGTTTAATACTCACCTCTCCTTTGTGCAGTACTACATGGAGCCGCCGGCTCTTCTCAGAGACGCACTGGAGCAGAAAGGACTGCATCCAAAATCCTTCTTTACGTTGCATCATGGGGAGTCTCGGCTTATTACGTCACAAGAAGGCGACGTCTTCGAGTGATCCTCCTGTTTCTGGACTGCATTACTGTAGATCTGTAATAAAGAGCAGAAACATTTTGTAGATAGTTTTAGTGATTAAAGAATGAAATGCAAAAGTATGCAGCTCGTCTATATTTACATACTGAATGTTTACAGGGTCATCGGTGAACAATAACGTTCTCAATTATTAAGATTAGTTGAGTCAGTGTCACATGTACATTGAAAACATTTATTCAGATTTTTCGTTTCATATGCAGCAGTTTAGAAAATGAATTGTTTCCTTTCGGCAACTAAGTTTCCAAATCCAATGTGGGATAAGTGTAGAGAAAAAAATTTTAAAAAATACTTCTGTGCTGGTTTTTTCTCCTCGGGGCTACAAGATTTTTTTCAGTCAGCACACAGACCACAAAACTAAATAACACCAACATGCAAATTACCACTTTGAAAAACTACAAAGCTGCAGAAACACTTGTGTTTTTCCCTCAGCAGTTCCAGTTCACCACATAGAGGGAGAAGATGTAATGTTTACCCTGACACCTCATGGTCATTGGAGAACAATGCTACCTTAACAAGCTGAGAATCTAATGACAAAGTAGAAGAAACTCTTCATACTGCAAAGATTAGCTGAGTCTCAGAAGCTCCTGTTTTTTTTCTGTCATTTCAAAGTCGTAGCAGTTACAAGTCAGAACATTTTCTGCAGCTTGATTGTATCTCAAAGCGGTAACTTGCATTTTGACATTGACACTGTGCGCCCGCTGCTTATAAAAACCTTCCAGCCCTGAGGAGAAAATATTTCTGGTGGATAAAATGTTCCAGAACAGAGGAGCAACAACCACTGAGAAGAAATGTCTGCTGCTTCTACACTGGTTTGTGGAAACCTAGTCATCAACTGACCAAAATATGACCATAAGTCTTTTTCTGAATTTTCTGCACACCAACAAAAAACATTTGAATAAAATAAGTTAAAATGAAGCTCACATAGATTTACTATGGTAACCAATGCTCTTTAATGAACATGTGAATGTAGTTACAGTGTGTGCACAGGAAACAGTGCATGGTTGAATGACAAACCTCGTCTCTGAAGCTGAACAGGAGCCTGTAGACACGTGATGCAGTTTCATGTTCACACACAGCTGGACACGTGAGCTGGAATGTCAAAGAAAAAACAGACAGATATTTAGCGTTTTTAAAGAGCAGTGTTAGCTGAGGCTAGATGACAATACTGTGTTTCTCTTCAGATTGTATTACAGTCAAGAAAAGTAACTAACTACAGCTGAAGTGTCAGTGTGCACAAGTTGAGCTGGGTTCAACTTCATGCACTGCAGCTACTGTATATTGTTCCTGTGACGGATATTTACTTTGAATGCTCTGAAACCACAGCACAAAGACCAACCTCCTCATCTATCATTGATGTTTGTGTCTCAGACAGAAACCATAGAATAATGTAGTACTGTGGTGATTTTATCTTAAAATCCAGAATATAAGAAGAGGTAACAGCACAATTCTGAGGTAATTTAATAACCTAGATAAAACTGTATTGTCAGTCTGGGCTGAATGTGGTTTACATTGATTCTGTGTTGCTGAATTTAACATTGAATAAACTTTGCACACCTGCAAATATGTGTTTTTATTCTTGTTATAATAAATTGTTGTTGAAATTGTTTTGTGTTTATGTTACTTTAAGTCTCATGGGGGAAGATAACATAGAAAGTTACTTTGAATTAAAGAATAAATGTCCCCATTAGTATATTATACTGAGTAAGAACATCTGCAACAGAATATTTTGTCATGAAGCTGTAAATCACACACTTCTGATCTGCTGCTTCTTCTAAAACGAAATTTGGCGCCCCCAAGTGGTAAACATATAAACCTGCAACTATTATGGGAATTAAACCATGAATATGATGCATTAAATAATTAATGCAGAATTTACCAAACAGAAAAATACCAAAAATACTGCCGATTGTACTGAGTATGATGTATTAAATTCTGCCTACATTTTTGAACAGGCGTAACTATAGACAGTATAAGCTGCCACAAAACATGCTGCTATAGATTGTGTAATTATCTTTATTTAGGTATAGATTTGTGTTAATATATGATCAGATCATCCAAGTTTAGATAATGACCAACCTGGACTGGAGCCTACAGGCAGCGTGATGTGGTTTCATGTTCACACACAGCAGGACATGACTTCTTGTGAGCTGTAATATCACAGGGAAAAAAAAAATGAAAATTTAAAACCTTGAATTATCTTCATTCATGAGTGAATTTCAAAGAATATATGATAAGATCATCTCAGTTAAAATAATGACAAACCTTCACTGAAGCCAACAGAACAGGAGCCTACAGGCAGCGGGACACAACCTCTTGTGAGCTGTAATATGACAGAAAAACCCCCACAGTTTTTAAATGTTGAATTATCTTCATTAATGAGTGGATTTGACTCAATATATGATCTGATCATCTAAGCTAGAAAAGTTTAAGAACCAATCAGCGTGAACTTTTTCCAGTTATGATCCATTTCTCCCAA